CCGGTAAGCCAGGATTTCCGGCGCGACTATGCGTTTTTGCAGCGTGAAATTTGCCGCATCCTTATGCTAGACGTTAGCTTAAGTGTGAGCTGTTAACTTTTTTCATCCCACACAGAACTAGGCAACATCCTCGTAAAATTTTGGCTTTCTTGCCTTCCTAATTACCGAAGAAGTAGGGGTTGGTGGCAGCGTTTCCAACCTGAAGATTCGATGTGTTTGTGCGAGAGACACATTTGTAAAAAAAGCTGATTTTACGCCTGATGGCGCTCACATGAACAACAAATATCCTCAGATTGGGCTTCGCACACTAGTGTGTTATCCAATCTTGCTGTGTGTATTAGGTGCCCTTATTTCTTTTTATCAAACGTATGACGTGTTCAGTTTTCCTTTTTGACCAAAAATTGTAATGTGTATATAAGCAAAAATTTTGAATTGTTGCGAAAACTCGAGAAAAGCCGATCAAAATGTAAGGTGGAGAGTTAGTTGTACTGCTTATGGTGTTGCAGCAACTGTGCACAAGTAAAGTGTACATATCTTTTTATGCGTTTTTTGCAGCAATGCAATGCGAAAAACGCATATTGACGAGAGGTTGTCTGTGTGTTCGTGTGTCTGTGTGCCTGTGTGTGCGTCTGTCACGCACTTTCATCTCCGGACCTATAAAAGCTGCGATGTGTCTGTGTGTGCGCTGGGCCTCTGTATCGGTTTTTCATCTCGAGACCGGCAAAAGCTACGGAGCTGAAACTTTGGGGACTTGTGCGTGTGTGTGTGCGCTGCGCGTCTGTACCGATTTTTATGCGTTTTGTGCTGTGTAACAGCCGCGTTTTTTGCAGCTATGCAATGCAGAAAACGCATATTGACGAGAGGTTGTCTGTGTGTGTGTGTGTGCGTGCTGTATGTGTGTGTGTTTGTGTGTGTGTCTGTGTGTGCGCAGCGCGTCTGTACCGATTTTTCATCTCTGTTTGTGTGTGTGTCTGTGTGTGCGCTGCGCGTCTCTACCGATTTTTCATCTCGAGACCCACAAAAGCTACAGGGCTGTTTTGTGTGTGTGTCTGTGTGTGCGCTGGGCCTCCGTACCGATTTTTCATCTCGAGACCGGCAAAAGTTGTGTGTGTGTCTGTGTGTGCGCTGCGCGTCTGTACCGATTTTTCATCTGGAGACCGGCAAAAGCTACGGGGCTGAAACTTGGGGGGTATGTCTGTGTGTGCGCAGCGCGTCTGTACCGATTTTTCATCTCGTGTTTGTGTGTCTGTGTCTGTGTGTGCGCTCCGCGTCTGTACCGATTTTTCATCTCGAGACCGGCAAAAGCTACGGGGCTG